GTCCGTGTGGGACACGCCAACAGCGTACCTAGAGAACTCTGACAGTGTCCGTGTGGGACACGCCAACAGCGCACCTAGAGAACTTTGACAGCTCTGCTCTCTATAAAAAATTACCCAAAGAATCTCAGGAAAATTTCTGCAACAAAGACTTCCAGGAAAAAGCTCCTTGAAAATCTGTTTCTCAACAGTGATGGTACAAAATATCAAAGGAATCATAATGTGCCACCAGCTATGACTATGGAGGAGAACCTCACTCACCTGAAAGTCACAGGCGAGATCTTTCCCATCAGGGCATATGCAGTGACACTCTGAAGGTGAAACAAGGCGCCATCTGTCAGCAGCAGCAGCACGATGTCCTGGCTGTAGCTGAAGCTCTTCCCACTTCTGCCAATCACAGGGACATCCTATGGCCAAAACAAAAGGACATTTTTCTGGCCTGTGTCTCCCTGCTGTGCCTGGCCTGTCATCACTGCTGAGAAGGTAAGGTATCACTGGTGCCAAGTAACTGAAATCAGCAACACTGGAGCTTTGAATGCCTGTCTGCTAGACAGCAGTGTGCACATTCATCAGGACTTTTAGCATGGACAAGGCATGCTACATGCCTATAATCTTAGCACTCAGGTAGAGAAAGGAGGACTTGGACAGTCAGAGAAAGATAGCAAATCTGAGGCCAACCTGGTTTACATGAGCTCTTATCTCAAAAGTGAGCAGAGGTTATGTCAGGAAAATGCCTCAGTAAGTAAATGCCTCAGTAAGTAAAGATCTCTGTGAGTTCAAAGCCAGCCTGGTCTACAAAGAGAGTTCCAGGACAGCTAGGAGTTAGAGAAACCCCGTCTCGAAAAAACAATAACAAAAAAACTAAAACCAAAGCAAAAACTCAAGTTCAGATCCCCAGAACATATGTACAGCTAAACATGATAGTATAGTCTATAATCCCACTGTTCCTATTATAAGTGGGAGAAGAGACAGGAGAATCCTCAGAAACTTGCAAGACAGCTAACTTGGCTTGCAAATAAGGGGGAAAGCAAGGACTGACTCCCAAAGCTATCCTATGTCCTCCATGTATATACTTCAGGTAGAGGTCGCTTCAGATCTGCAATCCTAACACGGGAGACAGAGGCAAGAGGACTACCAAGAGTTCAAAGCCAGGCTGGGCTGCAGTGTGAGTTCTGGGCCAGCCTGGGCCTGCAATCGTAGCATTTGGGAGATTGAGGCGAGGCCTACTAACAATGTGAGACCAGCCTGGGATATATAATGTGTTCTAGGACAGCCTGAGCTATAAAATGAGACCCCGTTGGGTTTTTTTTTTTTAAACCAACAAAAACCCTCATTGGTAAGGATCTTAAGAACATGGAACTCTTGTGTGTGTATTGTGAGAACATAAAATGTTTCAACCAACCACTCCAGTTCCAAGACTATATTCCAAAGACACACCCCCATTTGCAAAGGATGTCAATGTGAGAAATTCTTTACCATGTATGGAACTGTGGGGCAAGGTAAAGCTATGACCCACAGCATGATCAGAACAGACTTCCCAGTGTGACATGTCTTAAGGAGAAAGGTTTACACAGACACGCACTTCCATAAACGGAGGGACGCCAGGAAACGTGTTGGGAGTAAATCTGCACCCACAAGCTCGCTACACGGCAACTTAGACAAGGAAGCTAAGGGTGGGAGATCCTCTCAGTTGGTTTCAAATATAAAACTGCTGACTTAGGTGGGTGTGGGGACAGAGCCCTTTAACACTAGCACTAAGAGGCTGAGGCAAGCATAGTTATGTCAGTTTGAGGCTAACCTGGTCTACATAGCAAATTTCAGACTGCCACGACTACATAATGAGACTCTGTCTCAAAAGGACAACAAAACTCTGTTTACTATTCTATAGTGTGCAAAACCATTTCCATAATAAAAGAAAGATAAGTTAAGCAAGCCTAAAAACCCCAAACAAAACTCAAATTTAGCCACCCGCCCTTCTTCACCTGAACTGTCAAGGCTGGAAACCCACCATGAAGAAGGCCCACGCTGGGATCAGCAAGGCCACAGCAGCAGCACTGGTGTAAAACTGCAGCTCCGGGGCCCTGAGGGACAGGAAACACATGGTCTTTCTCATGGGTCGAGGCTTCCACCCAAGCATTTTCAGCAAAGAAAACTCAAGAATCAGCAATCAGAAATGTGTCTCTCACAATGACAGGAATGTAAGGGTCCCCATGACCTGAGCTGTCTGTTTGGTAATTCGAGGAGTGAGCTAGGAAGCAGGTAGTTTTCTCTCGATTTTTCACAAAGACCTGTCAAAGCCACCAAACCAAATGAGTACAGGCTCCCAGGGCTTATTCAGAGCTGTAAAATGACCAAAAGTCCTGCTGGGTCTTAAGATGGTGCAGACCTTTGATCCCAGCACTTGTAAGGCACAGGATGGAGGATCTCTGCCTGTTCTGTATAGGGAATAGTAGGACAGCCAGGACTACATAGACATGCTCTCTCACCACCGCCCCAATTAGAAACTATAAATCCTCTTACTGGAGATACTTACGAGAACCTGTATTTGTCCCCACTGAGAAGCTTTTTTGAGAAAACATTCTGCAAACTAAAACAGAGATATCAAACACTTAGGTCACTCAGGAATAAAGTGATGATTGAACACCCACTAAGGCCAACAGCCACAGGCACTTACATGCCCGAAGGCCAACAGCCACAGGCACTTACACGCCTGAAGCCAGTCCTGTACCAGGTGTGTCCAGTCATCATCTCACCGAGAAGCAGGACTGTGCCTACTGTCCCTACAGACAAGTGAACAGAGCCTGAATGACCTGCCATCTCAAACATCAGAGCACCATGATGGTTTTGCTCTGTACGCTTTGAAAATCCCAATATCGGAAGCTCAGGTAGGAATACTAGGAATTCAAAGCCATCTTCAGATACATAATGAGTTTGAAGTCAGCCTGGACTATGTGGAACCCTGTTTCAAAACCCCAAAAGAAGGGCTGGAGGGAAGGTTGAGCAGTTATGAGCAGTTCTTATAGGTGGACAAAGGTTTAGTTCTTAGAACTGAAAGGGTGGCTCACAACCTTCCATAATTCACGTTTCAGGGACTCCATCGTCCCTTTCTGACTTCCACGGGCTTCTAAAGGTTACAGGTACACATGTGATGCACATACACACATACATGCAAGCAAAACACCAATATATACATAATAAAAATAAATCTAGTTGAGAGGTAGTGGCACATGCCTTTAACTCTAGTACTTGGCAAGAAGATCCAGACAGATCTCTGAGTGTGGTGCCAGTCTGGTCTACAGAGTTAGTTCCAGGACAGCTAAGTCTACACAGAGAAACTCTGTCTCAAAATAAAACAAAAAATAAACAACAAAAAATTAAGCCAGGAGTGGTAGTACACACCCATGATCCCAGCACTCAGGAATCAGAGGTAGGCAGGTCTCTGAATTCAAGGATAGCCTGGACTACACAGTGAGTTCTAGGACAGCCAAGGCTAAATAGAGGGACCTTGCCTCAAACAACCAAAATCTAAAACCAACCAAAAGAAGCAAAGTAAGCAAGCAAACAAACAAAACCAAAATAGTTCCCTGGGGATGAAGTTCATAAATTCAGTAGCCTGGGGCTCCAGGCAAAAGAGGGTTCCATGGCAAGTGTACTGAATAGAACTAGTCATGCACGCAAAACCCCAGAACTTAGAAGCAGACAGACCACCAGGGAAACATACAAATAGCCAATGGGAAAATAAAACAATTCTGGCTTCAAAAGAGACCTCAGAGACAGAATTTGACACAGTGGGACATTGTTGCCTAGCTTCTTACTGGAGAGAGATCTTAACTTAGTGTACGAAAAGGTGATGCCAATCTGCACGGAAAGCATAGTGACAAAGGACGCTGTCTCAAGCCACAAAACAGCACGAATCAAGAGCATCTTCAGAAGTCCGGTACTCATCTAGTGGTTTGCCTTTTAGACGCTTACCCTACAGGCAGAGAAAAAATAGGCAAAGAATCAGTTCCCTGCAGGCTGGCTTCCGAACAGTGTGTGTGGAGTCAGGCCGTGGAGAATGTTTAGTGAAGAACAAGGCTCAAAGAAACTGTGTGATTCTGAAGTACCACAAACCCAGTGCAGAATGCCTACAGCAAATGCATCACTAAGGTGAAGAACCGGTTAAGAATGGTTTCCATGAATGTTGCTCATATGCAACATTCCTAACTGAAAGGCCAGCTGTTTTCTCCAGCAGGAACAGTAATAACAAACTAGTAGCTACTTATAGTGGCTGTTTTCTTTCTCTCAAAGTGCTAGACATGGTAGCACATACCTTTAATTCCAGCATTCAGGAGATAGAGGCAGGTGGATCTCTGTGAGTTCACAGCCAGCCTGGCCTATAAAATGAGTTTCACGACAGTCAAGGATACATAGAGAGACCCTGTCTCAAAAACAAAAATAGGAAAAACCTTAAAGAGATTATTAGTTCCAAAAGATCAAGTTTTTTGGGATGAACTTCAGTGACAGCACAGATGAAGATAGCCTGTCAGACAGTGATTAGCCACACACACTGAACAGTACCTGTCATCTCAACACTGGGGAGTCTGAGGCGGAGGACTGCAAGTTCAAGGATAGTCTAGACTATAAAGTGAGAAAAAGTAACAAAAAGAAGACTGGGATACGACATCTGTCCCTCAGCAGACTGTGTGACTAACAACGCCGATCCAACACTTCCCCCAGATCTTTGTCACATGACTGGCACCTGCCTGAGAGACATCAGGACATAGTTACTCAGCCAGGGAGAGAAACAAGGATCCAGCAGCCTGGTTCCACAGTCTTGAGAGATGGTCTCTGGCTTCTTCTTTGGTTTTATTTAGCTTAACTATGCGACATACAAAATTAAGTTTATATTTTCATCAGCCAACAACATTTTTCTTAGAATTAGCCTATTAATTACCAGGTTTATCCTACAGTTTAACACACACACACACACACACACACACACACACACACACACACGAGGGGGGAAGAGAGAGAGAAGGTACACATGTCTGGAAGCGTGTGCATGAATGCCATGGAACATAGGTGAAGAGCAAGAGATCTCACTATGGATTTTTGTTGTTCTTGTTATTTAGGGTAGTGTCTCACTATATATTCTTGAATGGACTGTAGCTCACAGCAATCCTCCTGCTTCTGCCAAGATTACAGGCATGTGTGCCACCACACCAGTCTAGCTACCATTCTGATTATCATGATTATCCTTACCGTGTAGCCAAATCCCTCTAGTTAGTATATTAGCAATCAGGACTACACATCAAATTCCAGCTTTGTTTGAAGAAAATGCACTGATCTGGAACTTACTGTTGTACTTCTTGAGAAAAGGAAGGTCAGTGGAGACTGGCTCAGTCACAGAAGTGAGGCTGAGCTAGCTTGGATCTGAACACCTGTGGACTCAGATGAGGCAAAACAAGCCCTTCTTAAGCAAGCCCTCCTTCATCATCTGCCCTTGTGATCTGAACTCACCAATCCATAATGTTGGTGGATAACGCAGCTGAAAACCCCAGGATGTTGAAGCTTATCTCAGTGGCTGTGCACAATGCCAGTCCTCCCATGACTGGGATAAGGGACAGGTTGACCAACAGCCCTAGCAAGAACAAAATAGGAATGCGCATAAGTGTGGGTGCGGTGCGCACAGGCCACGACACACACATAGAGGATAACCTGTGCAGACAACTCCCTCCTTCTACCATTAGGTCCTAGGGACTGAACTCAGGTTCAGTCAGCAGCTCCTTCATCCACTGCTCTAAACCCTGTCTCTCAAAACAAAACAAACAGGACTAGAGAGACGACGTGGAGGGTAAGAGCACTGGCTGCTCTTCTGAAGGTCCTGAGTTCAGTCCCTGTACTCACATGGTGGTTCACAACCTCTTTGGGTCTGCAGGCATAATGTATACATAATGAATAAATTAATTTTTTTTCCTCCGTGACAGGGTCTCTCTGTGTAGCTTTGGAGCCTGGCCTGGCACTAGCTCTGTAGACGAGGCTGGCCTTGAATTCACAGAGATCTGCCATCCTCTGCTTCCCTAGTGCTGGGATTAAAGGCATACGCCACCACTGCTGGGAAATAAATAAATAAATATACTTATTTATTATGTATACAGCATTCTGTCTGCATGGATGTCTGCAGGTCAGAAGAGGGCACCAGATCTCATTATAGATGGTTGTGAGCCACCATGTGGTTGCTGGGAATTGAACTCAGGACCTTTGGAAGAGCAGCCAAGTGCTCTTAACCTCTGAGCCATCTCTCCAGCCCCCAAATAAATAAATTTTTTTTAAAAAAAATTCTATTCACTGCAATGCAAATCACATTTCTCACCTATGTTAATTTTGGAAATGACAACAGGTACTTTATAGAACCTTTTCAATTTTACATACAGGACTTATTTCAATTGTCAAAGAAATAAAGACATACAGCCCCCCACCCTTTTTTCTTTTGTTTTTTTTCAAGACAGGGTTTCTCAGTGTAGCCTTGGCTGTCCTGGAACTCACGCTGTAGAGCAGGCTGGCCTCGAACTCAGAGATCCACTTGCCTCTGTCTCCCGAGTGCTGGGATTAAAGCTGGTGGCAGTCCTACCCGGTGGACACGTGCCCTTTATGTTTATCAAAAGTAACAGTCACAATCGTAGGATCACAAGAAATGGTTTCTGTCCCGCCACAGGCTGGTAAGGCCCAGTGCAGGGAAGTAATGGAGGAACTGATGATCCCTGAGCCCAGAGGACCAAGCTCAGGAAAGGATACTCAGGCTATCTTGACAAAGTCTTACAGAAAAGCTCCTTCTTAGTTGCTATGGCTAGCTTTACCCTCTGTCTCTTTGGTAATTTTCATTTAAATGGTGCACAACATGTATAAAATTCCAGAGAGAACTAGATATATGTTACTACCTGAGTTTGTTTCTGGGCAGCTGTGGCACAGCCAACGCCTTTGTCCAATTTGGGCTTCAAGAGTCGGAATCCTAGCTCTAAGTCTGGCATTTTTCAGACTGTTCTTTGGGTCTGACTTCCATCCTAGGCCACCAAGATTCTCAGCTACCACACAATGATCAAACACTTCTTTGGGAAATGGTGACACATAACCAGAGTACTTCTCTTGGCAAACCGAGACTCCTTTAAAACCTAATCTCTGAGTTCGAGGCCAGGCTAGTCTACAGAGTTCCAGAACAGTCAGGGCTACACAGAAAAATCCTGTCTTGAAAAAACAAACAAAAAACTAGTACCTCAGCCTTCTCCAATGCCTCTCTAACAAATTCCTTTTGATAAATTTCGAGAATATTTTCTAATTGTTCTCGACAAGTGAATGATTGCTTGAAGCTTGTTCATCATCTTAAGTCAAATCGTCCTGTATTAGAATCATTTGAAATAATCCTATTTTATTTGTTTTTTATTTTGTTTTATAACAGGGTCTAAGTAGCTCTAGCTATCCTAGAACTATGTAGACCAGGCTAGCCTCGAACCACAGGGATCCACCTGCCTCTGCCTTTCAAGTACTAGAATTAGAGGTATGTACTACTTGCTATACCTATATAATATACAGTATTAAAATAAATCTGACTCCCTAAGCCTTGGGGAAGATGGAGAAACAGTTACCACAAAGCAAGCTGGGCAATGGTGGTGTACACCTTTGATCCCAGCACTTGGGAGGCAGAGGCAGGTGAATCTCTGAGTTCAAGGACATCCTGGTCTACAGAGCTAGTTCCAGGGCTACACAGAGAAACACTGTCTCCAAAAAAAATCAAAAGAGTCACAATGCACCCTGGACAAGTTCATTAAAAAGGGAGTCCTTATGTATGTGGGCATTGCCTTATTGCTTTTGGATCAAGGATCAGCACTTGGATATATATGCCTGACATTCATCTTCCAGTTTCCGGCCAGTTGGAAGCCATGAGGTTCAATCCTCCTCTGACCCTCTCATCCTCCCACAAGAACAGGTCCAGCATTTAGCAAGCTTGATGAAGCATCTGCTCAAAGGATGCCAAGAGAATTTTCCATGAAGTGAGAACAAGTGGTCCCAGCATTGGTGGGTCCTAGGTTTGCTCTCTGCCGAGAAACTCTGGAAAGCTGAACACCCAGCACGTAATGGGCAGTAGGTGACAATATATATAAAAAGGTGCTGAGGCCCAGCCCAGGCCGAAGGGCAGGACCAGGAGGGCCCCTACCTGTGTACTCCCCCAGAATCATTCGAGACATGATCACAGTGAAAATGGGAGCCGAGCTCTTCACAGTCTCAGCAAAGGACACTGCCACATTCTTCAGGCTGACCAGCCCCAAAACCACCGTTGCAAATCTTAAAACAAGAAAACAGCAACATGAGAAGGGACATCTGCTATAAAACAGACTCCAAGTGCTCAGTCACGACTGTGGGCACATCCGAGCCCTCTTCCCAACAAGTAGGCTGAGCCCCAGGTGAGGGCAACCCTTTTGCACTCCAGGATGGCAAACACCTTCCAACCACTACTGAGTTACCTTTTTAAAAAATTTTTATTTGAGACAGAGTCTCACTATGTAGCTCTGGCTGTCCTGGAACTCACTATGTAGACCAGACTGGTCAAATTCAGATATCCACCTGCCTCTGCCTCCCAAGTGCTGGGATCAAAGCTGTGCACTGAATTACTTTTTAAGGCTGCCTTATAAAAGACTCAGAGAATGAATGTGGCATCAAGGGCCACACAACTGAAACCTACCTGATGGATAGCCCTATAATTGTATCCTGTGCCCTAAACACACACTCAGACACACTAATTGCCAAGACCTCAAATAGGGTTTTCACACTTACTAACTAGAAAGATATTTTTTGTTTTTCAAGATGGGGTTTCTCTGCATCTCTGGCTATCCTGGGCTCTCTTTGTAGACCAGGTTGGCCTCAAACTCAGAGACCCACCTGCCCCTGACTCCTAAGTGCTGGGATCAAAGGCGTTCACCAACACACTCGGATCGGAGAGGTAGGTGTTTTATATCTAAAGAAACAGCATATTTTACCTCATGAGGCCCACAAAGAGCATGGTCATGATGAAATTGGGTGGGTAAGAGAGCCGGGTTTTGTGTTGATATAAACAGCAAGGAACAAATATTTTAATGCATCCAATTAATGTCGTAGACAGCATCTGCACAGCACCTGTGGAGGGAGCATGGGGCGCATTGAGAACAGTCTTTTCCCACGTGAGCACAGACATCACCCTTCACTCCAGGACACATCCGAGTAAGCCCCTTAGCCTTTCCTTCCCTCCTGATGGCCTCTGGCCACTCAGCATCAGCTCCAACAGGAGAGCATACTGGGCAGGCAGCATTACCTAACGTGCTGGGCTCTCCCTCTACAACAGG